ACCCACCAACCCGCTTATTTCATGGGTTGGGTTGGGTTATCTGTTTAGGTTCGCGGGTCAACCTGCCAACTTGTGTATATATATATATATATATATATATATATATATATATAAATACTAAATTTGATTTTTGTCCGTATTGGTAATTTTCCGTATCATTGTATTCCTTCCGTATTCGTATGAGACTAATCTACATTTGCGGTTCGTTAATTAGAAAAAGAAAAAATACATGTCGTTATTTCATGAGTTACGAACGAAGAACACATCCACTTTTTATGAATGCTTTTATTTTTCATTTTTATTTGGATGTCATTGACTTTATGAATTTATGTTGAAAATCTTTTTTTTTATGTTAATTACTTTAATCATTTTATGAATTTATGTTAAAAAAACCTCACTTTTTAAAATGTGTTGTTTATTTATTAAACGGATTATATAGGTTGGGTTTAACCCATTAACTTGTGAAACCGCGAACCCATATACTTAAACGGGTTATATGGGTTGGATTGGGTTGAGGTTTCCAACCTACCAACCCGTGACCCGCCAACCCTTCAACCAATATATTATATTGGTTGGGTTGAGTTTATGTATTTTAACCCGTCAACCCGAACCCAACCCAATTGTCAGGCCTATCGTGTTGTGTGAAACGAAACTGGTTGAGATAAGTTGATTGGTTGATTTTAACCTACTCCATTTAATTATCGTATAATGTTAACATGTTTATTTGTATGTCGAGTTTGCGTGTTTAGGGTTTAGATCTTGTAAATATGTTGTGTCATCTTAAACCGAAACAATAAATAAGTTGAAAGAGTAGGAGTTGGAAAAGTGGGAAAAAAAAATAATAAATAAATAAATAAAATGAAAAACAGGAAGGAGTACCAGTTTGGAAGGTATGAGTGAAATTCACGTTAAGTTTAGAGGAAATAGTGGGCGAATTGGAAAAGTAAAAAGTAAATACCGATTGGAAGTGCTAATTAGTAGCTTTCAATCTTCCAAGTTACAAAAAAACACTTAGACTTAAAGTTTTATTTTATATTTGGTTTTGGTCATGTCTAGTTTACTTAAAAAAAATTTAAAAAGTTGAATATAATAAATGAGTCATGTTTGTGTTGATAGTTTGATCCTAGCCTTACTCATTTAATTTCGTTTCGTGTTGTATCAACTTGTTTAATTAAACGGGTTGAAATTTCTAACCCAACCTCATTTATTTTCATGTCTAATTCTTGTGTTGGTGTCATAGAACATCCCTAGTTGAATGTTTAGTTCTTATGTTATTATTACGGTTTTTATAGCACACTTTCACTTCCTTTCTAATTTGATTACTGGACTTCAAAAACTTTTACCAAAACCATTTAAACTATGCATTACCATTATAAACGTCTTAAGCCCTTCATCATTTTTTTTGTCATCCACTCGTTTCTTGTTATTTAATCAATCCATTTTTACATAACCCATACCAAGTCTTTTGAAATACAATATGATAGACTTAAGACATACTTTTCTAATTTTAAAAAACATGACAGAAGATTAACATATAAAATTATAAATATTAACTATTCCTTAGAAAGTAAGGAGACCAATATATATTATATATATACATGGTAGCATGTTTCCAATGAGGCATTCACATCAACCTTTTCAATTGAGCTTAATACAAAGATGAAGAGAGAACAAGGGTTGGTGATTCTTTCCATTCTTGCATTGGTTGCACTAGAGACGATGGTTGGCGGCAGTCAGGCGGCAATAGGGATGCCGCCTGAGTCGGCACCATTAATTCGCCATTTTTATAAAGTGCACAATACGTGTGCGTACGTGGAGCCATTTGTTCGACACCAAGTGCAGCTTATATGGGCTAATGATAAGACTGTTGCTCCAAAGCTCATCAAGTTGCTCTATGCTGATTGCATGGTCAATGTACGTTCTCTTAGTCTCTCTCAACACATCATCATCATATTAGTTACTAACCTTGCATTTTTTTGCAATTCAATGTATGCATGTACGTGTGTGTGTGTGTATATATATATATATATATATATATATATATATATATATATATATATATATATATATATATATACTATATACTTATATATGCATGTATGTCTATTTATTTGTATATATATGTATGATGTATGTGAATATATGAAAGTATATACACATATATGCATGTACGTATATAAAAATACATCCTCTTGGACATATGTAAGTATATATTTGTGTTAGGATGTATGTATGTATGTATGTATGTATGTAGATACATAGATACAAGACCTCGCCAGAAAACTTGTGTTGTGTTCCAACTTGAAGTTAGATTGATGGTTTGATAAATTATGAAACAATTTTTTACAACTTCGAGTCTTTGAGATTACGTAAACCATCATCAGCCTTTTAATGATAAAACGACAGATAGTTTGCGATTTATTAAATATTAAAACAAGTGAGGAAAACTTGAGAGGCATTGAAGAGAGTAGATAACGTTTTTTACGTCACCCGATTGAAGGAGCAAAAGAAGGCTTGTTTTGTGGATGAGTCAACACGTTTTCTCACTTAAGATATTTTGGGAGTTGAGCACCAACGTCTTTCATTTATCTTTTGTCATTTTTAAAAAAAATTAACAAATGATTTATCATATTTACCTACCATGTTTGTCTTTGAAAATATTACGATTTAAAAAAAAAAAAAAACACAAACACACACACACATTGAGTATTTGATTTGTAATGAGTTTGAAATATGAAAAGCTAATTGGAGAAAATAATGATAGGGTTGCGATGCATCGATTCTACTAGATGGGCCAAATACAGAGAAAGCATCACCAAAAGCCAGAGGACTAGCAGCATTCGTGCTTATCGATAAGATCAAGCAAGTCTTGGAAGCACGATGCCCAGGAGCAGTTTCATGTGCTGACATTCTCAATATTGCAGCTAGAGACGCCGTGTATTTGGTAAGCGCCCGTGCTAGTAAACCAAATGCATAAATGCAAAAAATAAAATTGCAACGCACGCACTTCGAAAAATCTATTCATTTGTAGCATTCTACTTTGAGTTTTTCTTTTCTTTTTGGGACATTATAATATGATAAATAAATTCAAATTGTGTTGAAATTTATCACAATGCTATAATAAAAGTGCAATGATTTAGCAAGAAAAAATAAAAGTAGGATGCTATAATATAATAAACATATTAATGAAAGTAGGTTGCTATTTCTTGCATTTTCAAGCCGTATGGACATGGCAACTTAAATCCGAAATTAAGTTCATCCCATATGAAGAGTTAACAACTTGTTGATGAATTTAAACAGTCGGGCGGGCCATCGTATCCGGTTTTCTTGGGAAGAAGGGATGGACTCGAATCGAATGCAGCATGGGTAGACTTCCCCTCGCCTTCCATGTCTTGGGAATCGTCTTTGGCATATTTTGAATCCAAAGGCTTGGATTTGCAAGACATGGTTACTCTCCTAGGTAAGCGTCCATACAAGTATATTTGTCATTGTACAACATTTGGTTTTGATATGCATTAGACTGGGACCGAGACTAATGTCAATGGGACAAAAATTGCAACTTTTTTGTCCTACATAAAAAGGTTAAACAAGGTGGGACATGGACTCGCCCTCAATCTCTCGTTATCGTAAAAGACGTAAATGTCCTCCCCATCCTCATCATCGAGAATAACCCTAGAAAGCTTGTCGAGTCTTGTCTTAGGTAACAAACACAACCTTCAACCGTGTTTGTTACACATACTAAGACTAGACAGGACTCTACACACTTTCGATGTATATTTTCGCTTTCTATGTATATTTTCGATGGTGAGAAATGAGGAGAGCATTTACGTCTTTCACAAAAACGGGAGATCGAGAGCGAGTCCATGTCCCACCTTTTTTAGTATGACAAAGAGGTTGCAATTTTTGTCCTATTGACATCGGCCTCAATCTAAATAGTCTAAATCTAATACACACCAAACACAGTACAACTTGTTCTGTTCTTACGTGTTTTTTCTTTTGTACATTCAGGAGCACATATGATGGGCCGAGTTAGATGCAGTAACATCCTCGACCGTCTCTACAATTTCAACAACACCGGGAAACCCGACCCAAGTATGGAACCCTCTACACTAACTTACTTGCGAGCCGAATGCCCTCAGAAAGTAAGACTCGGTCAACCCAACCCGCTCATAAACTTAAACCCAAGTAACCCGAGTCACAGTTTCACCAACTCCTACTACTCTCGAGTGTTGGAAAAGAAATCAGTTCTAGGAGTTGACCAACAGCTAATCTATGGTGAAGATACACATGACCTATCCGATGAATATGCTGCAGGGCTCCAAGATTTCAAGCTTGGGTTCGCCTTTTCCATGAGCCGGATGGGTGGGCTTAAGGTTCTTACGGGAACCAAGGGTCAGATTCGACTCGATTGCAGAATGGTCAACAAATAGATTGATATAGTTATCTTGTTTATAAAGCCAATGTTGTCATTTTATTATTAATAAAAGTACTAAATGTAAGATCAGTAAGGTATTTTCATTTGTTTGTGTATTGTAGCATTGGTATAGTTTTTGGCTAAAACTGAAACCTAACCAAAACATTGGTTTTTGACTTTGACGAGACCGATTATCTTCGGTCTTTTCGGGTTTTCCCCGGTTTTTTATATTTTTTTGTGTTCATTCTGTAATCTTGCTGATAAAATAAAAAACAATAAAGGTAATTTACCAAAAAAGATACAAGACGATGTAAAGGCATTTCATTGTTTTAATTTTAAATAAAAACCGTAAACGCATGTCATTGTTTTAATATAGTAAATTAATAGGTTAAAACTTATACACAAAACGACGTCGTTTTAAGGTTTTCACATTCGATTCTGGTTCTTATATAAAAGAAACCAAATTTACCTTGAAAATTCAATTTTTCTTAACACAAAAAACCAGACCTTGGGTTTTTCACAATGATTTGATTTTTTTATTCAATATCTATCATGACATTATACTTTCAAATATTCTCTTATTAACGCATTGTAATTTTAAAACTCTGCTAGCTAGTATAACAATGTAGTTTCTAACTTTTTTCTTAGAACATCATACTTTGTAAAATCTTACCCAATATAGCAATGAAAATTGCTTTGTATTTGAATGACATTGCTATATTTGGGTAGATTTTTCAAAGTACAATACTATAATAGAAAGAAATGAAATCATGATGCTATAATATACAGAAAAAAGAATAAAAAAAACCTATTCCTCTTGAAAAGCAAGAATTGCAACGAGCTCTTTGATTCTAAGTTTACATGTTGTATGGAAGCTAAACGTGAAACCTTCTATAATCGCCTCAAAATATTAAAACAAAAAAAAATGTCTAAACACAATACACAAATAAAGAGATTGTGTTCTTCTGACCTTGCAAGATGTACCCATGAACAGCCTCTTCCTATGACAATCATTTAGGGCTCCAATTCATAATCCTGAAAACCAAACAAAACAGTATAAAAGGTTTCAGAAAATGAAAATACTCCTTTGCAATCAAAGGCTGGAATGCCATGGAATTGAATTTCGATTCCCGCCAAATCTCATGGAATCACACGAACAAACATCCACTAAAATGAAATCATTTGTTAAGTTTATTTAGCAAGTCAAGAGAGGGGTATTTTAGATTTATTTCTACATAAAATGTTAATATAGTTGGTTAACTTCACAAGTGTAGGAAGTTGGAAGGGGAACTCCTTTCTACATAAATGTAATGAGGGAGGGAATGGAATGGTTCATTCCATTGGAATGGAAAAAAGTTGTTTTGTTTGTCCAATGGAATGGAATTGACCACTCTTCAAGGAATGTGATTCCATCAAATTTATTAACTTTCCTTCCTTAGCAAGCCAGACGATGGCGTTTTCTTTTCCATTCCATGATCGAATGAAATTAAATGTTGCAATATAACCAATTTTTATTTATGTAACTATGATACGGATCTTTTTTTTCAATCTCTAAATTTTAATCATAATACAATTTTCTTTCTAAAAATATCTAGAATATGTTTTTTTTCTTAGTCTTATTTGGGTTATATGTCAATTTTTTTATATAAATAAAATTTCATTGCTTATAATTAAGTAATATACAGAATAGAGTTAAAACTAAACCTTCTATTACATAAGTTTATATAAAAACTCATTTTATTCCAAAAACCAATAAAACATGATCAAAGAATGTAATGAGTCATTCTCTTACGTTGCTTATTCCATTACCTGCCCATTCCATTCCATCCAATCGAACAAAAATTTGCAACACAACCCTATTTATGTAATTTTTAATGACACAGATCTTTGTAAATTTTTTCCCTAATTTAATAAAGTTACAATTTTATTTTATAAAAAATCCAGAAAATATAACTTTTCTTATAATCTTATTTGGGTGTTAATGAGCTTTTATCATGTTTAATATTTTATTTTTGTAAATAAAAATTTAATAACTATAATTAAATTATGTGTGTGTGTGTGTGTATATATATATATATATATATATATATAATATATAAAAAATTCATTCCACCCCTACATACCAACAAAACATGATCATGGAATGTAATTGGCTCATGCATAAGAAAACAAAAAGTACCTTTACTAAAAATCGAGCGATTTTTAAACGTACTTGATGAATGTTGAAATGGCATAAGCACATTGCTATGAACTCTTCCAATATAAAACAAAAAGGTAAAATCTTTGATCACAAATTTGAAGCATCACAAACTAGTCATCATAGGTAGCAGCTGGGCTTCTATTCTTGATTAGCTGGATTTACATGAAAAAAATAGTGTCAAAAAGACGAATATCTCTACTTTTATATATAAATAAATAAATTAATAAATAAATAAATAATATTAGAAATTTAATAATTTACAAGTTATAAACACTATTTATAACGTACAACTAAAAGATGGATAAAATGCAAAAGTACAATATTACTTCACAAACATCAGAAATTACATAAAACACAAGAAATTCACCCATTATACTTTACTTGACATAAAAAAAGTAAAAGCTTTCAAAATAAATGATAATTAATGAGTTTAACTAAAATGATAAGAAGTGCAAAGTGAATTAGAAAGAAAAAAGATGAATATAATTTATATGTTTAAACCTTGTAGAAGTATTTCTTTCGGAGTTTAATGGCTGTACGTATGCATCTCTTAACCCTAATCTTCAGCATATTGTCATTGAATATCTGCATCATAAGTAGAAATCAAAACCAAATAAGGGACACATATCATGTGTAAATAGTAAATACATAAACAACAGCAACATACTTCTATTGATATGTGTATTATAGCATCATACTTTCATTACTTCCTATTACAACATTGTACTTTAGAAAATCTATCAAAATATAGCAATGTCATCAAAATACAAAGCAATTTTCGCAATGTTCACTGATATAATTCGGTAGATCTTTCAAAGTATAAAGCCATGATAAGGAAAAACTGTAAAGGTAATGCTATAATCGGGTAGATTTTTCAAGATACTACAATGCCTTAATAGAACAAATTAAAGTACAATGATGTAACAGAAAGAAACAAGAGTAGGATAATATAATACACTAACTAAAGGGTTAAATACAAGAAATAGCAACGTACTTCTATCATTATGTTTTTTATAACACCCTACTTTCAATTCCTCTTAGTAATGTCATTCAAATAAAAAGTAATTTTCATTGTTATAACTGCGAGAATTTTCAAAATATGGAAGAAAAAAAAAAGTGAAAATCTAATGCTAAAATTGGGTAAATTTTTCGAACCACAATGTCTTAATAAGAAAAAAAGTTTATAGAAAGACATAATGAGTAGGATGCTATAAAAAGCACAAACAAACGAAAGTAAATTGCTATTTCTTGCGTTTAGTGTACAAATAAAAACTTATAATCCACCTGCCTTTATCAAATCATCAATCGAACGTGTTTCTCTCATGATTTTATGGCGATTGAGAATAAGAATTGCAGCTACACAGAAAATAGGCAACTCATCATCGCCATTCCTCGTTGATGATATGATCGTGCATATTTGAAAACGATCATTTTTTGACCACAAGCTTTTTGTCAATCCACAAAAGGGATGATTTAAAGTGGATTTTATTCCATTATTTTCGGAGTTTGAGCGCTCTAAATTCCCACATTTTGATTCTGATCCACCATTTTTTGATCCACTGTTTTCATTCTCAATAATTTCCTCTTGTGTGGCTGTGGCTGTAGTTGATTCCTTTGGGATTTGTAGGACTAGAAGTTCAGGACAACTGTTCTCCAGATTGAAAGCCAAGGATTCATCAAAATCAGCAGCCCACATCATCTGGTCACAACAAAAGGGCAATTTAGTAATTTTCAAGTTTGAAATTAAGATGATCATTTTCATTTAGGATCTGTTTCTTTTTCCATTACGTCCTGTATGGTAAAAAAAAGTTGAAAATACAATGCTATTTCTTAGTTGCTGCTAATGCAAAGGTAATTATTACATGTAGGACATGTTATTATATTAATTAATAATTAATTAATTAATATCCTAGCTAGAGAAATTAAGCAAGAAGAATGAATACATACCTCCCACATGCAAAGTGCCTCACTGAAAGATAACTCACGTCGGAAAAGTACTAGAAGCATCCGGAAGGCAAAATGGAGGCTTTCAGCACCTATTTGTGAAAGGTGAGTGAACATTTCCCTGTCTACATGTTCTAAAATATGTGAAAGTGCTTCCAATTGTTTCATGACACCTGTCGTTCCTTCCATCTGAAAATTTTCACGCTGTACACAAGGAAAACAAACTTATAATTAAAGGATTAGCAAATAGGATGTATAATTAAAAGATTAAATGCAAGAAATAGCAAACAGGATGTATAATTTTCAGAGTACCTGTTTATAAGAAAAAATTAAAAGTATAACGATGTAAAGTTTCGGGATGTTTTTCCAATTTAATAACCATTTTGACATGATATAAGAAGTCAAAGTGGGTTATAAATTATCGGTCAAAACTGATATGACAGGTCAAAATGGTTTAATTTGGAAAAATGTTTGAAACTTTAATGATTTGGAAAAATGTTTGAAACTTTAATGATTTGGAAAATTGTGATTTTCCCTTATAATTGAGTGGATTTGTTAAAGTTTAATGTCCTAATATGAAAAGGAAACGAAAGTACATATGAAAAGAGTTGAAGTATAATTTTGTAACATGAAGAAACGAAGAAGTAAGATGCTATAAGAAACAAATAAATGGAAATACATCATCACTATTTCATGCATTTAACCAATAAATGATATATGTGTCGAGTTTAGAAATACCATTCTTCTTAAAAGCATCTCGAAGCACCAAAAAGCATCAGCATTATCCTCAAAGAGCACAATAAAAGGCGATAACAAATCACTCATACCTGCAATCAGAGTTGCATTCACTTCATAATTCAGATTATACCTTGCATCCAACTTTCATTTCTTTCTATTAGAGCATTGTGCTTCCAATCTTTTTCTTATTAAACTATTGTACTTCAAAAATCTACCACAACTTAGCATTGTAATTTTTTTTTTCCTTTATTAGGACATTATACTTTGAAAAATCTACTCAACTGTAACACTGAAAATTGCTTTGTATTTGGATGGCATTGTTATGATTGGGTAGATTATTCAAACTACAATTTTGTAATAGGAAGAAATGAAAGTGGGATGCTATACATCTATATATAAGATCAATGAAAGTAAATTGTTATTTCTTGCATTTAACTCATTAAAAAAAAAAAAATCAAGAGGCAAAAAAAGCACAACCTTGACAATATCCTGTTGCAGGATCAACCCAGGCATAAACAGCAAGAATATCTGACATTCTTGCTAAATTTTTTGTATCTTCATAAAATTCCAGATGACAATCTGTTCTCACAACATCAACAACTGCAAAAAGGAACAAAGAGAAACAATAAATACATTTTAGAATTTTTTTTTTCTTAAAAGGACATACAAAATCAAGGTAAGGAATATATATATCAACTTTTCCACACTTATTAATAACATAGTCAAAGGGTATATCTCCAATTGTCCACCATAACAAAAACCTGTCCACAATTTATTCATGGGTCCCACTGATTTTAATTTTATATATACTTATTTTTGTTATATAAATCAGTAATAATATTTAATTTTTAATTATTTGCTACAACAAAGGAAATAAAGATAAAACCAACTAGAAAAATATTATAATAATAATAATAAATATTTATAGACTCATATATTTTTTAACTATTGAAAATTTTCTAATTTTCTAATTTATATATTTCTTAACGTCACTAAGATTCTAACTTTCTATTATTTACATTTATACAAAATTAGCACGTTTTATAAGGTTAGAATTTTATGCATATAGTAATTAAACAAAAAAAAAATTTACTTCTAGTTAAAAAATTAAAAAGAATAAAAGACAATAAACAATGAAAAAGCTCCTAAGTTTGAGCTTGTATATAGCACTACCATTGACCAATTGTAGTTGACTATTTGACTAACATTGACTATTACTCGATTATCATACACTATAAACAAAAACTTACCAATTTGATGTAAAGTCCAAAGCCACTCAGACACTCTATCTTGACTCCTTGTTCTTCCATGTGATTTCACTGTGTTTTTCAAAACCCTAATTTCAGACACATCGTTCTTTCTTTCCTCCATTTCATATTCCACATTGCCAGATCTTGATTCAGACCCCGTGACTTCAATTCTTGATTTGTTACCACATTTAGAATTCTCTTCCATTACCAAATCTACATTGTTATTAATTTGAAAATCATACACATGATCATCATCATCATCATCATCATCACCATCACCATCACCATCATCATCATCTTCTTCAAATCTAAGCTTCCGCCTTGTGGAAACTCTTTCATCGTTTGACTTTGACTTAACTTCATTCTTATTATCAACCACTACATCACTTTTTTCAAATAAATTTGTAACAGGTAAAGGGGGGAAATCGTAATAATTTGAAGTTCTGTATTGTGATTCATCATCCCCTTCACTTCTATTATATGGAGTAGTAGAAGAAGTTTCTACACAAATATCAGAGCAATTGCAGGAAGATTCTAGTAGATTAGAATCAATGGTGGAAGATTGTTCTTGTTTTACTTCAGATTTTCTTCTTTCATCATCTTCTGTTTTTGTTCTCATGTCCATGACTTTTGTCCCCACAACATAGGCTAAAGAACCTGTGCCTATACTGGAATGCATTAACTGACATTGATTAATAAGGTCTTTATAGCGTTCCCTGCATCCAAAGTTTTTATAAAAAAGTGTTACTAAATCATATATTGGTGTATATATAAAAGATAAGTCCATAAAAAGAAAAGGGTAATGCGAGAAATAGAATTATACTTTTGTTTATTTGTGTGTCGACTATTAAGGCATTGTAGTTTGGAAAATATATCCAACCATAGCTGTGAAAATTGCTTTGTTTTTAATTGACATTATATATTTCAAAGCACAGCACTGTAGTATCATAAAAAGACCTTATATATTGTGTTTTTTACAGAATAAACCTCAACTTTATTTTTATTTTTTCGTAAATAAAAAAAAAAAAACCTCACATTTGACAAGTTTTTTCAGAAAAGAAAAAACTACTAAAAGGGCCAAATAAAAAAATGGAAAAATGCAAGGTCGTTTTCAGGAAAAAAATAAAGTTTAGGTTTAATCTGGAAGAAACACAATATATAAGGTCTTTTATGATATTAACCCTAATAATTAATTAAAGAATCAATGAGGGTATGTTGCTAGTTCTTGGAATTAACACTATATATCATTTTTTTTTTTGGTTAAATAGGATTAAAAGTTGATAATAAGGATAAGTTTATGTGAGAAAGTAATAGTTAAGAATATTTTAGTTGGTATTTTAGAATAACTATCAGCTGTAAACAATATTTATTTATTAATTAAAGTAATCCCTTTTTCTTTATCTCTCCTGGTGTTATATATTTTCCAATCATACTAATTATTAGAGTGATGTAGAAACTAATATTACAAACTAGGTCAATGCATGCAACATGATATGTGTCACAAAAGGCATTCAAAATCTGGTAATTGGTGGAAAAGAATTTATACAATGAAAGAAATGAACATTAAAATAAGCAGTTAAAATAGTATACACAAACAACATAGTACATAGTACAGACCTCCTTGCAGCCCTTAGCCTTCTTCTGTAATCTGCTGTACTGCTCAAAGAATAACAGCCTAGAAGAAATTCCCACACTTCAGGTCTTATTGACGGATCTACCCCCTACACACAAATTTAAAACATTAGGGAAGTTATATCATATGCCTAAAAAGACTGGAAAATAGAATAATATTGTGTACTTATGGTAATGATTATCCCATATAATAGAGCTAAAAGGTTAAAAAAAAAAAAAAAAAAAAAAAAAAAAAAGATGAAGAAAAAGTAAAAGCTTACACCCAAAATAATCAATTTCAGTGCTTTCTGAAAACCAAAAACCTTTCCATCACTATCAAATGTTGTTTGCCACTTTTCTGGTTTAAGCATTTTGTTTATCTGCATAATTTACACAAGGAGTCATTATTGGCAATACAACTTCAACAATTAAAAAAATATATAATATTTGATTAATGTTGAATGTTATTGTTAGTTCCTACTGAATGGACACATCAAACCTTGGAAGTGTTTAACTTACATAGAAAATGTAGCACATGCTACTTTCATTTCTTTTTATTATATTTACAGCATTGCTTTTGAAAACTACCCGGTTATAGTATTTTTCAAAGTAAAATGTTGTAATAAGAAGAAATGGAAGTCGGATGCTAGAATCAACAAATTAATGAAAGGAAATTGTGATTTCTTGCATTTAACCCTATAAAAATGCCTTACATATTATTTTCTACTAAATTTTATCAACTCTGTCATGGGAAAAACATTAAACATGTGAAAGAAAATATGATTCTTCCCACCAAAAGCCTCCCCTCTCTAAATTTGCTATAACTGGCCTTAATGATTCCTTTTAGAAACCCAAATTCAATTTCAACCAACAGCTTATTTCAGTATCATCACAGAGCTTGATACATTTTGTAAACTTTGTTCATACATGGATTCTGTAAAAGAACTAAATGCAAGAAATAGAAATGTACTTTCATTTATTTGTTTATTATAATATCTTACTGCATTTATTCATGTTACAGCATCATTCTTTGAAAAGTTTACCTAATTATAGCAATGTCATCCAAAAACAAAGCTAGTTTCACTGCTATAATTACATAGATTTTTCAAGTACAATGTTCTAATGAGAAAAAAAAAAAAAAAAAAAAAAAAAAACTGAAAGCACAATGTTGTAATAAATACATTATACAAATAGAAATACAATCCTGTAATAAACAAATAAAAGGAACTGCATTGCTACTTCTTGCATTTAGCCCGTTATAAAAAGCAACTTTTCATTTACTACAACCATTAGATAAGCACAATTCACATATTAAACTGATACAATGTAACAAAACCACATAGGCCTTCCTTTTGTAAAACCCTGCATCCTTGTTTAAAGTTCAATTATCATGAAAGAAGCGTTGAAAATTTCAAGAAGAAAACAGTTAGAAGAGGGCTTTTCAGAGTCTTACAGTAACAACAACCTTTATTGGTGACTGATGAAGACAAGGCTCCCCAATATGTTGAACAATAGAACCAACTCTTTGTAAATTCACTGTACCACTCTTTCCACAAATCCATTGCTTGTGATCTCCGTCAAAAGACATCTCCTAATTGTTCTTAATGTCTACTACTTCTCTTCAATGTCTAGCAATCAAATCAAAGTCCTATAGCATACCAAGTTGCATAAAAACACCAAATCAGCAACCCACAAAACAATTAACAAATCAGATTCAATCAGAAAAAAGCATGCACCATGACTATGAAATGAAGTTACTGTGCTAACAAGAAGCCGACATCAGTGGCCTAACTCGTAAGAAACCAAGAGGTTCTGATGAATCAGAAGAAGAAATGTTCTGGATGATCAAAAAACTACCTCTAATTTTGAATACGATCAAGTAAATTTGCAACCGAATCATGAATTTCAGTTAAACTTGAACAAGTTCGACCTCATTTCTACTTTACTTTAACCTGCCCTCGCGAATAGGGGAGAAACAAAAGGAAAACAAAAATAACGTTCGACATAAAGATTTGCTCGCTTTGTATTTCAATTGGACGCTTGTTTTGGGGAAAACCACCTTTGCTAAGCGTACTCGAATTGAGGGAATAGATGGTATCCGGTTTTAATGACAGATCGTGAAACCCTAAATCCAGTGAAAAAGACGAACTAATTGACATATAAGTACAATGGTAGATGATCATCGACAGCGAATTTGCTTGAAGTTAAATTCGATCGAATAATATGATGCAGTTGTACCTGAACATAAACGCCTATAACTATGGCAAGGGTATTGAAATATCCCTCAACTTCAAGATCAGAGATCGGTCTACCAGCTTCGTCTCCATCAACACAACAGAGACCGTTTCTTTAGTTTCCGCCTGAATTTTGTTTTTCCCTTTTGATTTTTATTAAAAAAATGGGCTGAGATAAAACTTGTTTGAAACGAGTTGATCTCACCTTAGAGTTAACTATGGCATTTGCACTTGGGAAATGGGTGTGAATACAAGTGTTTTGATGGTCAAAATTGTTTGGATATCTATAGAATTATGAACTCATTTCCTTTGAAGTTTGGCTATCAAAAATTATTCATTGGGATAACCCTACACGCATTTAAAGTCCTAGACACAATAATAATAAGAAATGTATCATGTTCTTATTGGGATTGTGGAACATCTTACTAGTTCCAAAAGATGGTGTTTTTAGTAGTTGCAAAAGATGGTGTTTTATGAGCAGGGTCGGTTCTATTCTTTGTAAAACTAAGCAAGGGCTCATGACCCTCAATTATAAATAGCCCCTAATTTTAAAGTTTATTCTGTTAATTATATATGTATGTATACGTATTTCTTGGGTTACTGTTAATGTATCCCTCTGGGATAACGTCAAAAAAAGAGAAGTCAAACTAACGTTGGGCTTTGCCTGGTCAGAACCCACTCTAAAGCCAAGTCCGGGCTTTCACCAACACGAAGATCACTGGTACGGTGGTCAAAGTGCAGAGTCGCACCTTAACCTCTTTTCCAAGAGGTTACATCCCGCCAAACGTAGGACTAATCAGAGAGTTCCACTTGCCCATTAGATGATAGTCATGATATTCATAACAATTAAAAGATCTCCTTCTAGCCAATGAGGGAATGAGGCAAAAGACGTGACGGAGGACCCTCCAATATGGGTCTGCCACGTCGCACCTCACTAGGGAGGCCTCAACAAAATCATTTGAGGGACGTGCTTCTCGAACAGGTATAAAAGGATCCTTATTCCTCACGAAGAAGGGGACGAAATTCTCTTTTTCCTGTAATCTACTATAATCTCTCTCAGATCTCATACTAACTTTATCGTCGGAGCTTCGTCCCGGGATCTCCTCCCGGACATCGACTAACGACCATCTCTCTCTTTTGTACTATGATATCAAGAGAAGATACCTGCACAGATCTCTCGTACAGTTCCAACTCAATCCTCTCTAACATATCACAACAATTACAAAGACAAGTTGGAGAATGGTCTGGTGGTAAAAGCGTTGGTTTATTAAACTAAGGGTCTTAGGTTCGAATTTGTTTGCTTACCTTCCATTCATTTTATTTTGGAAGCTACTTAAACATATCCCACATCGCTCATGGATGAAACTAGGCCAACTTTCCTCTCTTATATAAGCCCGACCATCCTATTGCTTCATATTAACTCTACCTTTGAGTCCAACATTAGCTGGAAGATCAAAACTTTAGCAAACTTCATGTTTATATAAGTGATTAGCTAAGATGCATTAAGAAATAGTTTGGAAGTGGGTTTAAATTATAAACCAAAGGGCCCCAATTTTTTTTTGTTTGCTTAGAGCCCCCAAATTGGTTGAGTCACCTCTGTTTATGAGTATCTATTTATATGTATATTACCTAAAACTTGGATAAAGATAACATAAAATAAATCCATGAAAACATCCACTAAACATTTATATTAATATGCATGAAACCTTCATTCAATGAATAAAATCATGAAAATATCCATACTCATCATGGCAATTACCCAACATATCAAGATGGCCCAAGAAGTGTATAAGCACCAGAGACCAACTCTTACACCAAAACTCCTTCATGATGTTTAAAGAAATAACAAACCAAAATGAATATCCAAATAATGATCGGTCGAGTCGTGTATCATCCATCATCCAAAGCTAAGAATACCCACACAACATACTCAAATGGAGACAAATCTAAATAATGGTAGCAAAACCAATAATGGTCGCTTCAAATCTAAGTGTATAATTTAACAAAAACTATAGCCCATACATACCAAACAAACAATCCCAACACCTTTATACAAATTTAGAATGAAACATCAACATGAACAATTCTCTTATACACCCCAACTGAATCTAAAACGTCTCTAACCCATACATACACACCTAAATTGTAACATCCCAAAAATACGAGCCAAAAATTTCATTTTTTTTAAACATATACTTTGCAAAACATTAGAAATAAAACATTCACCGATCATGTCATTTCATAAAAGATGTTGCGTGTCTGGAAACCATTTTATAAAACATAATAATGTCAGAGTACAAATCCCCAGGAAGATCTCATAGTGCGGAATATAAAGCATGTATGTGATGTGCCGCTACCGCGCCAGCTCCTTCCCCTTCGAAGAAGAGGTACCTGAAACCAAAACTGAAAACTGTAAGCACGAAGTTTAGTGAGTTCCCCCAACATACCACATACCATACAATCACATAACATACATATATTGTCAGGCATATCTGGGAGCCCGACCTACCTTTTCGGTCCTCTCGACCGGGTACAGACTAGTCTATCTGGGAGCTGGCATCCCCTTCGGTCCTCTCGATCGGATACTAACTAGCATATATGGGTGCTGGTCTCCCCTTCGGTCCTCTCGACCGGATACTGACTAGCATATCTGGGAGCTGGCCTCCCCTTCGGTCCTCTCGACCAGATACTAGGGACTATTTCACCCCCTACTACTACCACATAACACATATAACACATAATCTATCTAGCATGGTTGGGCATAACCGCCCCTTCGTCCCTATCGACCGGTATTCTGGGGGACTATCTCCCCCCTATTGTCACTAGCACATAGCATCATATCATACTAGCACAATAACATATCACAGGTAGTAGCAACCCTAAATGAATATCACAGAGACAAACATCTATCATACAATTCCTACTGGTGGGACGGCATTGTGGCCGTAGACCCACCGCTACTGGAAGGTAACTCACCTCAAAGTAGTTGCTAATCTGCATGGGAACTGACTGTCTTATGCTGCTGCTGCCCCGGAAATCCTCCGGCTATAATTCCCACAAAACACTCAGTCAAATACTGCTAACCGACCTCAGGGTAAAATGATCATTTATCCCTAACCAAGCCAAGAGTCAAAGTCAAAGTCAACTTCCAGTTGACCCGACTCGCCAAGTTGGCTTGCCAACTCGCTGAGTCCCTATCCATTCGATTGACCATAAACCTGTCTCTACTCGTCGAGTTAGGCATTGACTCGACGAGTTTTCTTCTAACCCATGTCCAATAGTCCTTCATCCTACTCGCCGAGTTGTATGAACAACTCGTCGAGTTCATCTTCATCCGAAGAACATTCTATGCTGAGACTCGCCGAGTTGTATGGACAACTCGCCGAGTCTGTTCTTGAGGCAAGAAGATTGCCTTGGACTCGCCGAGTCAGGGCATTGACTCGTCGAGTTACTTCATGGGTGAGTCTGGCTTCCGACTCACTGAGTCACACCCCATGACTACTACTCCACTCCGCAAACACGAAAAGGGGGAAAACTCGGGGACTCGCGACTCGAATCACCGAGTCCGATGAATGACTTGCCGAGTCTATCACATGCAAATACTATATACTTGATTTTGCTTAAATCCAGCTCATGCCATACCTAGATCTGGGTTTCTAGGGCTTGATTAACACGTAAAGTTTCCAACTTTACGTGTAAATAAACACCAATGAAGGTTTTAGGGCTCAAAATGCACTAAAAGAGTAGATCTAGGGCTTTCATGCAATATGGCTCCATAAAGGCAGTAGATCCGAGCTCCTGGAGCTCAATCATGCCGAGTCGCCAACTTAAATGTGCTCCATTTCCCGTCTCTACTCGGCGAGTCGGGCCTACAGCTCACCGAGTCCAAGGCTAAAAATGCAAAACACTTAGATAAAATTTACATACCAGGAACCAGGTGCTACATAAATAGACTAGAAAGGTGAATAAACAATCATTGTTTCAAAAGACGAAACTGAAAGGGTGAAAAATATCAAGTATCCAAACCTCAATAAACTTCTCTAAATAAATCAATAATGAGATCATGGGATCTCCATGCAATTCTAGAGAAGAAAACCTCAAACAAACAGAATGTTCCTCCTAGATAACCACACAGAATTATAGATAACATGTCAATACAACTTGTCTATGTCAAGTACGACAAGCAAAAACCTGACACCAAATATACGGAAAATATAAAATCATATATAACTAATATCATACAAAGGGTTAATCAAGAATGTCATGATGATGTTTGGGTTTATGCTAAAATATAGGCTATGTTGGATCAGTTATGTGTTATTGAATTTGTTAAGAAAAAAATCGGCTTTTATTTTGTTTTCTGCCTTCACTTGTAGCTGATGTGTAATGTGTTATTAAGCTTTTGATATTTTATTAGTGTTTTGTTGTGATCTATTATGTGTTCTTAAGCTTCGACGTGTCTATGTGTACGTTTCTTTTAGTTGTGGGTATCAATAAAATTTTGGTGTGTGTATATGTGTGTTTGAGTGACAAGAGCAAAAGACGATGGTGGGAGAAAAGGAATTAAACCCTAATTTTTGAACAAACACATGGACCAAATTTGTAGTTTTCTCATAAACTAATGACTTATTTTATATATTTATTTTATTTAATATAACACTAAGTTGTCTTTCTTTATTTTACTCTTATTAGGTAACTACAGACACATATTATATGATAGAAGCACATACACATAAATAACATGAATATGAACATTGACAACATGAGTTGGAACTAAACACATCAAACATGAAACAATAACAATAAGTGGATAATAGGAACAAGAATAAAAAAGCATAAACACAAACTAGTATACACTCATGTCTGATGTCGCAAAGGACATCAAGGGCAATTGTACTTGATGTGCATGTAATAATTGTAGTAGTAACAATGTATGAAACATCCCAAAAATACGATTCAAAATTCTCATTTTTAAAATCATTAGTAAAACCCTATATCCTCATCATATAAAAATCATAAGACATGTATCTCAAAATATCATAACAAATGTCAATGTATCCAGGGACGCATCTTTCTTAGGGCCAGGAGGGGTCTTGGCCCCCCCTGAATTTTGGGTTAGAAGTAGTCCAACTATGTATAATTTTTCGAGATATAGGCCCTGTTGTATGGAAAATGGGCTTTGGCCCCTCCTGCCCAAATCGGAATGACGTGAACTCATGAAGGACTTACGACGAATTGAAGTATCGAACCCCAAATCCCAATCCTCATCTTCCGTCAATCCGTTGAATACTTGAATCCGTTATTCATTAGTTCATTGTTCGCTGTTCTAGTTGTCAGATGCCTCAGTGCCTCACGCCCACTCCGCCTTCGGCGGTCTCCATAGACCACAGCAAACGCAGCAGTCGGCACGCCAGCACAGCAGGCGACAGCAGCTAGCAAAAAAATCAGGAAGAAAAATCTTTAGTCTCCATTTGTAAATTTCTGTTCTTCCTTTATGTTCTTCCTTCTGTAAGTTCTATTCTTCCTTTGTGACTTTGTGTTATTGTGTAATTTGGAAGAAAAATCAAAAAGTCAAGAAATTAGAATCTCAAACAATGTTATGTTTTCCTTTGTGTAATCTTGTTCAATGTTCAGTCTCCATTTGTAAATTTGCTTAATTGCTTGTTTTGGTCTTGTGGGAATTTCACAATTCAGTGTTCACATAGTCAAATGATTTCACACACTTTGTTCCTCTAATTGCTTCTTGTTTGTCCAACAGTCCATATGACCTAAGATTGTTGATGTGTTCCTCCAATTGCTTGTTGTTTATCTTAAATGAGCTGAGATTGTTAATTAATTTGAATTGTTCCTCCATTTTATTGTTGTTGGAATTTGGAATCAAGAAATTAGAATCTTAAACAATGTTATATGTTTTCTTTTGCAGAAACTAAAGTTAATTGGTAGATTTTGAATGAATTGTTCATACATTTTGCTTTTTTTTATAGATACAATGGGAAAGATGAAAACCATTCATTCTTTTTTCAAAAGAATGGGTAATTGCTTAAAACATTGATTCAAAGTCGGTAAT